ATAATTGAAGCCACTGATTTGGGTGGTAGGAGTAAATGAAATTATTTTATGTCATCAGGAAGGCTTGCAAGCATTGTGGTCTTGTATCTGTTTTCATCTTCCTCAATCCACATAGCCTACCTACCTTATAGGTTGGTAATTAGTAGCAACACATACTGCTTAAAAGCACATTTGAAACTAAAGACGTGAAGTAAGGTTGATCATTCCCTGCGCTGGCAATGTTCACATTATATGAGGAGCAAATATTTGTATTTACTACCTGAAGTAGTAATGCACTGTTGGCATGTTGGATCCAGCTCTTAGCGACACCTCCTTGGGTTTCCGAGGAGATATCACTACAGATACTGCTACCTTGTAGTGCCTAAGGCATTTGACTGCTAACCAGAAGACTGGCAGTTCAAACCCACCAGCCACTCCTCAAAAGGAAGGTTGGGCAATCTACATCCTTAGTGATACCGCCTGGGAAACCCAAGGAGGGTCTCTATGAGTCAGGTGAGTCAGGTCCAACTCCAGGGCACTTAACAACAACAACCTGAAGTAGTAGAACAAGGGGCCTAATAAATCCATTCTACATTTATTTTATTCTTGGGTGCTATGCAAATATTAAATGTTAATCTTAGAAACACAAAGTACACCATACTTAGGCACTAAAACAAAATGCTGGCATTTCTGACTAGGTCAGGAGAAAGTCTGAAGTGCAGGATTTTTTTTAAAGAAAATAATCTTTGCCCTTTGAAATTGAAAATAACTAAGTATACAAATGCAATTCCTCCAAACACGCATATGGAAGGCCTTACCAAACCAACAGCAAACTCACTGCTGTCAAGTTGTTTTCGACTCATAGCAACCCCTTCTTGGGTTTCTGAGATGGTATCTCTATGGAAGAAGATTGCCCAATCTTCCTACCAGAGTGGCTGATGGGTTTGAACTGCCAGCCTTCTAGTTAGCAGTCAAATGCCTTAGGTACTACACCACCAGAGCTCCCATGGAAGACCCTAGGAGACCCATTTAGGAATTAAGTGTTATTTGTAAACTCAACCTCACTAGGTATTATTTTGAAAGTACTTGAAGGCCTGAATCTCATAGTGAAATCTTGCTCGGAGAGGGAAAAAGCAAGATATAGACATAGAGCCTCTAGATAATCAGAATGTGATAACCCTGCAGGATGTGCTCCTAACAATACTGAAGCAAACATTTTTTTCTATGTCAGTTTATCAGATTTATAGCCCCCTTCCCCCCCATCATTTTCATTAGTGTCAGATTTCATGGTGGCAGGTACATGTCTGGAATGTTTCTTATACTTTTTTTTTAAATGTTCTGTAGACTATAGAAATTTCTTGGTCATTTTTTTTTTTTTTAACTGAGTTGACTGAAGCAGTGCATCTCAACCCATAATGTGCTTGTGAGTCATCTGGGGATCTTTTTAAAATGTAGATTATGAATGGGACCAGCTCTGAGATTCTATATTTTTAGTAAGTTCACTGGGTCCTTGGATAGTAAACAGGAATGTATTTCTGACTGTGTAATTAAGGAAGGAGCTAAGAAGGTAATGGGAGAGCAAAACACCATACTGCAGGTGAAGGGAACAATATGAAGCTGCTTGGCTGTCACTTACAGAAAATAAACATTAATTGCCAGGCACATTAGCAGAGCACAGACCAAAATGAGTAAAACAGAGTTGTTATGAAACAAATCTAAAGAGCTCTACTTTAGAACTTTAGCTAATCGGAGGAGGACAGAAAGCTGGAAATGAGGACACTGAACAATATAACAGAGGAGGAACAACCGAGGGCGCAATTCACAGAAGCTCGATAGTGACTACTTAAGATCACTGCTTGAAATTCTGTTCTCCTTGACCTGGCCTTTCTTTTCTTTGGCAGTGCATAAGCAAACTGCCTAATACTAGATCAGGAAGTGAGCCTACTATTTATGACCCCTCTAAGCATAAAACTAGGAGCTCTGGTAGCATAGTGCCTAAGGCACTTGACTGCTCACCAGAAGGCTGGCGGTTCAAACCCACCAGCCACTCCTCGGAAGGAAGGTTGGGCAATCCTACTTCCGTAGTGATACTGCCTCGGAAACCCAAGGAGGGGTCGGAAACCCAAGGAGGGGTCGTTATGAGTCGGGGCCGACTCGATGGCAAACAACAACAACAACAAGCATAAAACTACCTTGACAAGATGAAGTGAAGGGTACTGATGTGCCACTGAGTTTTAATCATTGTATAGAACTTAATTTTTTACTCTAACTGACAATTTCTTTGTCTTCTATCAGATATTGTTATTAGTTGCTTAAGGTCTCCTTCAACTCATGGCAACCTTTTATGTAACAGAAGGATCAGGCCTGGTCCTGTGCCATCTTCATGATTGTTGGTGTCTTTGAGTCTGTTTTAACTATTACGTCAGTCCATCTCATTCAAGGTTTTCCTCGTTTTCACTGACCCTCTACTTTACCAACCTTGATGTCTTTTTCTAGTGATTGGTCTTTCCTGAATGACACATCCAAAGAAAGCAAGCCAAAGTCTGTCTATCCTCACCTCTAAGGAGCATTCCAGTTTATTTCTTCCTTTGTTCTTCTATCAGATCTCAAAAATAACCAAACCAAACTCATAGCCGTCGAGTTGGTCCAGACTCATAGTGACCCCTCCTTGAGTTTCTGAGGTGGTATCTCTACAGATGAGATTGCCCAGTCTTCCTTGTGAGGAGTGGCTGGTGGGTTTGAACCACCAGCCTTCTGGTTAGCAGTCAAATGCCTTACGCACTACACCACCAGAGCTCTTTTCTATCAGATAGGACATTTTAATTTTAAACTAAACAGGTCCCATAACTTGAGCTTTCTGTTATCAGCAGGTAGGAAATGGAGTATGATGTGAAGCAGGTACAAAACAAAGATGTTTATTCACTGGAAGAGACAGAAACGAATGGTAGATATGGTGCCAGATTTAACAAAACAAAACAGGATACCCTGTTAAATTTGAATTTGACATAAACAGTGGAAGATTTTTTATGAATACTTGGGACATAATTAAAATAAAAATTATTTTGTTAAAATAAAAATTATCCATTCATTACTTAAAATTCAGATTTAACTGGGCGTTCTTTTTTTTTCTGGCAACTCTGATAGTAATTATATACTTCTACCACAAAAGTGATACCTGAGAAATCCTGACTTAGAAAATGATACGATAATTGTGATTATTTCCTGTTTTTCACTATCAAAAACAGTGAACACGGAAAGTCTTGTATATAACGTCTATTCATCTTTTTTTTTTTTTTTAATGTCTAGAATTGATACCATAAACTGAAAGTGTGGAGTCCTGGAGTATGTACTTCTTCCACTTTGCAAGAAATTGCTAAAAGCATGCTAAACATTCACACCAATGTATAAGGAACATGTAAAAGTTTTTCATATCTTAGCCAGCACTAGATGATTTGGTTTTTCAATTTTTACCTAGCTTATGAGTGAGAAATAGTATTTAATTTTCCTGATAACTCAGAGGTTAAACATGTTTACATGCATGGGTTCTATGTCATTTTCTCATTGATTTGTAGAAGTCAAGAGTTTTTCCAATATATTTCGGATAATAATACTAATAACACTTTTCAAGTGTGGTTTATTTTTTCCTCTTTTATATAGAAATTTTTAATTCTGACATATAACCAAAAGTACTGATCTTTTCCTTTGATGTGCTTTCCTTTATGAGAACGTTTTCTTTAATCCAGTGTCACGATCTTCTCTGGTTTTTTTGTAAACAGTTCTATAGTTTTTTTTTTTATTTTTTTATTTTTCAAATTTAATTCTTTAATCCATCTGGAATTAACTCTGTGAGGAAGAGATCTAATTCTATCTTTTTAGCAAATTATACCAGCATCTTTTATTGAATCCTTTCCTAATTGATATGTAATACCCATTGATTTATAATACCACCTAGTGCGTTTTTGGTGGGTTTTTTTTTTTTTTTTTTTTTTTTTTACCATACACCAAGCCTTCATCTGTCGTTGGATCTATTTGTCTATACTGTACCAATATGCACTGTTTTAAATATAATATCTTTATAGTGTTATCAATATCAAGCAAGGTATATCCTCTTTTTTTGTTCTTCAAGATTGTCTTGGCTTTCTTGGACCTTTACTCTTCCATATAGACCAGCTTGCCAAATACCAAAAAGGGAGAAATAATGATATTTTGATGGGAGTAATATTGAATTTATAGATGAATTTCTACGGAATTGGTATATTTACTATAGCCAGGCTTCCTATGTTAATTTCTAGAATGAAAGCAACTTTTTTCTCCTTTACTTTGATAATTTTCTCCATGAAAGTGTTTTTATATCTTTTGTAAAATTTATTCCAATGTATCTGATAGTTTTTGGTTTCCAACTGTCCTATTGAATTATCTTACTACTTCTAATAGTTTGTATGTTAAACCATGTAGATAGCCATATATATCATCTTCCAGTAATACTTTTTATTTCTTCCTTTTGAATCCTTATGCCTATTTAAAAAACAAGTCAAACTAGTTCGCATCAAGTTGATTCCAACTCACGGTGACCACATGTGTGTCAGAGTAAAACTGTGCTCCATAGGGTTTTCAGTGGCTGATTTTTTGAAAGTAGATCTCTATGCCTGTCTTCTGAGGCTCTCTGGGTAGACTCAAACCTCTGACCTTTTGGTTAACATCCAAATGGATTAACTGCACCATCCAGGGATTCCTATGTCTATTAATGTAGTGTTAAATAGAAGCCATAATAGCAAGTATTTCTATATAGTTCCGACTTTGTAGGAAATGTTATGATAAAATATAACTGTGTATATATATATATATAAAGTATTACTGTGGACTTTAGGTTAATACTTTTCTTCTCTTGCTAAATGTTTTCTTCCTTTGAATAAGTGTTGAATTTTATTTAATGCCTTTTCAGTTTCGTAGGTAAAAAGTTTGCAGCACAAATCTGACTCTCTTTCGTGTTTTCTCTAGGGTAACCTACTAGAGAGAAATCTCAAGGCAAAATAAAACAGGAAATTTGCTAGAATCAAGAATGATGGATCCCTGTTCTGTTGGAGTCCAGCTTCGTACCACAAATGAGTGCCATAAAACATACTATACTCGTCATACAGGCTTCAAGACTTTGCAAGAATTGTCATCAAATGATATGCTTTTGCTTCAACTTAGAACTGGAATGACACTTTCTGGGAACAATACGATCTGTTTCCATCATGCAAAAATTTACATTGACAGATTTGAAGATTTGCAGAAGTCATGTTGTGACCCATTTAACATTCACAAAAAACTAGCCAAAAAAAATTTGCATGTAATTGACTTAGATGATGCCACTTTCCTGAGTGCAAAATTTGGAAGACAGCTTGTACCTGGTTGGAAGCTTTGTCCAAAATGTACGCAGATAATCAATGGAAGCGTGGATATCGATTCTGAAGACCGCCAGAGGAGAAAACCTGATTCGGATGTATGTATATGAGTCATTTGTTTCTGCCATATGATTTCTGCAACTTGGATTTTGTGATTATAAGAAAATTGTATTTACATTATTACATTTATTAACATACAGTAAATATAAAGTTAAGAAGGTAAAAGAAATTTAAATGGTGTTTCTAAATATTTCTATACAGGAGCTCTGGTAGCATAGTGCCTAAGGCACTTGACTGTAACCAGAAGGCTGGCAGTTCAAACCCATTAGCCACTCCTTGGAAGGAAGGTTGGGCAATCTACTTCTGTAGTGATACCACCTCAGAATCCCAAGGAGGGGTCGCTATGAGTCGGGTCCAACTTTCAGCAAATAACAACAACAACATGGTTAATAATGAGTAATTTAAAAAAAGCATTAGAAAGAAATAACATACTATGTCCAAGACTCTAAGCATCTCCTAGTACTCAAATGTTATTAATTGCCATAGGTTCCCACTCATGGCAACTCTGTTACAAAGTAGACCTCCATAGAGTCTTGTTGGCTATGATCTCAATGGTAGCAGATCACCAGACCTTTTCATCCATGGTACAGCTCTTTGGACTAGAACCACTAACCTTCAGGTTAGCAGTTGAGTACAAACATTTGTGCTACCTTGGGACCCCTGCATATTCTGGCAAAGCCAGGACTTAACTAGCTTAGTTTCTTTTCTATTACCAAGTAACTCAATGAGACATGTCAATTATATACCAAGAGTCTGTATAACATAACAGAATGAATTCTCCACTTTTATAAAGGATTTGAAAATTACTGCTTTAAAAGGAGCATCAGAGAGATTACTTCTAATCATTGTTTCTTGTTTCATCCTTTCTTTCTCCTTTGGTACTATGCCATTCTTATGTAGGGTTCTTAAATCCTGCCATGTTTCCTTCATTTCTACCTTAGAATTCATATTTGGTAGGGTAAAGGCTAATTTTAGGCCTTTTTTGTGGTCAAAAAGCATACATTTTTACAAAATATAAATATTTTATCACTGTCTTCTATGTTCTCATGGAATGATGGATTTTATCACTGTCTTCCATGTTCTCATAGAAGACAGTGATAAAATATTTATGTAGTATAATCTTCCACTGAAAAGCTTACCATTCACTTGCCTACAAGGAACCCTGATAGGACAATGGTTAACACTTGACTGCTAACCAAAAGGTCAATGGTTCAAACCCACGAGCTACTCCAGGGGAAGAAAAGATGTGGTGATCTGCATCCATAAATTCTATGGGGCAGTTCTTCTCTGGCCTGTAGGGTTGCTATGAGTCAAAATTGACTCACCACATAACAACAGCAGCAACAGTGCAGATTTAACCATATGAAACAACTTAAGATTTCATAAAATCATATTTGTTATATACAATGAGGACAGGTATATCAAATGAGCACTTCTCAAAACTTCTTAAAATAACCATATTATTTCTGCAACATAGGATTTAGTTTGACAATAGGGAAACCATATTTCTTGCTGTTGGAATATTTTTCTTAATTTTCTTCTAAATTATTATAGATAAAAACCTAATGAAAAGATCATTAAATTTTTAAATTATTTGTGGCATTTTCCCTTTTTTCCTTCCCTTAGAGGCACATCTCCAGGACCCAATGTTATCTGCAATTTACACTAGGTACTTGCTATTACTGTGAGTTTAGATGTCTTTATCTTACCTATTCATTGCTTTATGGAATGTATCACATAAACCTTATTCCCCCCCCCACCAACAAACTTAATCCCTGATGCACCAGAATTTTGTTTCACCAAAGCATTTTTAAAAGATTATATTTCTGCTTCAGAACTATAAAACAATTTCTCTGCTCTTAAAAATACATAAAAGATAAGAGCTTTTTGTTAAAGACTCAAGATCATTATTAGGTACCTCACTTAAGTGCCATTGGGTTATATATCAATTTTTCTGCCTTCACTCCCGTGTTGGCAGCACCTATTGCAGTGGTCACCGTGCCTGTCTTGTGCTGTAATATCCTAAAGGCTAAGATCAGATAATGAAAATGTTATAAATAAATTAACTAATAAACATCAATGTGGTCCATAGACTTTAAAGTTTATTGCACTTGGGTTCTTAAACCTATTATCCTTTCTTACGATTCCAGGTTATGGATTGATCAGGATTAATAATAAGTGAAATACTTATTTATGTTCTGATGTCAAGATGTAAGTTTTTAACTCGTTTGCCTTTATTCAGGGAAGAACTGCTAAAGCTTTGAGGTCGTTACAATTTACAAACCCAGGAAAGCAGACAGAATTTGCTCCAGAAACTGGAAAAAGAGAAAAAAGAAGGCTTACAAAGAATGCGTCAGCTGGTTCAGACAGGTAGGATATGTGTTACTTAAGATAGATGTTGGCTTGCTGCTTCACATCTTTATTATTCCCTCTTTTTTTCTCTGAAGTGTTGAATTTTGGTTGTAAATATTTTAAATTGAATGGTATAGTATTAATAAGAACCTCTGAGAGCCTTGCTTTTTATCATATAAAATCAAGACCTCCTTTCAGTTCTAAAAAGTTGTTTCTATGAAGGTAGCAATGAAGCAAACAAGAAACTACTTATGGTGTGAAAATTAAAACATTGAAATTCTTAGAATTAAAATAATCTACTTTTTAAAAAAGCATTATAATATGTAATTGATACATATCTATGAGTGAAAGCTACAGAGTACTTTTTATGAAAATGGAATATTACTTTTTTTTACATGTCTGAAGTAGAAGTATGGTATGGTACAATTAATAGAATGAAGGGAAGAATTGAATTTTTAGAATATGACTTTTTAAATTGAGCACTTCTAAAATATAGATTGAAAAATAAATGTTAATATAATCATTCTGAATTATTTTAAAATACAGTTTTAAGAAATTTTTTGACATATGCCATTAATTCCATCTGTTAAAATTTTCCACTAAGTTATATAAATATTTTTAGACCAGATTTACTAGAGCCCATTAAAGAACAACAGATTAATTGCAGTATAAAAACTTAACACTGTAGCATAATGTAGTACAAATAAAACTTTGTTCACAAAGCACTAAGGAGATTGGTAGCCAATGAAATATACCACTATTTACTAACTGTATCTTTTTTAAAAAAGCTAAAGGGAAATAATTTTAACAGAGATACACTTGATTTTAGAAAAAGTTCTTTTCCATTCCTTTGTTGAGTTGATTTTTAAATGGACTTCAAAGCTTTGAAGTCTCAACACTTTAGGATTGGGTCTCATCTTCTCACAGGCTAAATGTATAGTAGCCTTGGGCCCAGTTAGTTGTGGACTACTCCAGCAGGTCCTCACCTCTAAGTCAAAATATTTTATCTCCTTAAAATTTTTTCGGTATCTTATTTTCAGTTACATAATCAAAAATATTATATTTAGGAGATGTAATTCATTGTTTTATTTTACAGACAAGTGATACCAGCAAAGAGTAAGGTCTATGATAGCCAGGGTCTCCTGATTTTCAGTGGGATGGACCTCTGCGACTGCCTTGATGAAGATTGCTTAGGATGTTTCTATGCTTGTCCTGCCTGTGGTTCTACCAAATGTGGAGCAGAATGCCGCTGTGATCGCAAGTGGCTGTATGAACAAATTGAAATAGAAGGAGGAGAAATAATTCATAATAAGCATGCAGGATAATTTGTGATATTAAACTATTAGGTCTTTAAAAGTCCTTTCTCTATTTTAAAATTCTCTAATTCTAAGGCTATACCAACATTTTAAACTTGATTGCCAACAGATTTGAAAAATACCTCAAAGTGCACAAAGTTGCACTTGGAGTGCTTTCAGATACATTATTTGATTTAAATTTAAATGGGCAATCAGCTTTAAGCCTGTCTGGGTCAATGTAAGCAAGTAGAATGTAGAGTACAGGCAGTCCTTGATTTGCATGGTTTCAGTATGCACAAATTTTAGTTACCACACTTTAGTTAAATAATGCCAGTATCCTGATACCACTTTTCAAATTTCACTTACCAAGGTATATTAACTGTGTGTAATTGCATAAAGTACAAACTTACCTACTAACTCTTCAGTCCCCAAATCAGTAACAGAAGCACATCATGAGCAGTGACCAGTCACATCACTTCCAAAATCTATTGATGATTGATCACTGCTTATCCATTTTTCACTCAACAAAGTATGTAGTTGTGCTGTCTTCTCATTGGCATGACATTTTGCAAAAATGGGTAATTGAAAAAAGATTATTGGCTCACAAAGATGAATGTGCAGCACGGAAGTAAAAGGTGAACACTGGAAGTGAAATTTGAATCAAACGTAGAATAACAGAAGAAATATCTGATCATAGAAATGTTGACACTCCTGCTGTTTTAGAGATTCTAGAACATGCAGCCAGATACCTGGAGCCAGATGTCTACATATGCAGACAGAGGAACTTAGTGAAGACAAATGTATCAACATAAATTAGGGGAATGGTTGTGATGAAAAGGATGAATGTGCTGTAGAAGAAGTGATGTTGGGGAAAAAAAAAATTAAAGGAACTCTTGGAGATAATTCACAACATTGAAAATACAAAGAATAAAGTGTTGGAAGCTGACCCCAAACTTTAAAGGAGTATTAAAATCCTCCAAGGTATACAAAAAAATGCTCATTTAGTATCGTAAGTTATTTGACAAAAAGTAAGCAAGCATGTTCACACTTCTTGATTAGTTTCTTATGTTGAAATACAACACCTTAATTCTCAGTGTTTCTAATGTTAGAAATTACAGTGTACTAAATATTTTACTGTTTTTTCCATTATGCATTTATAACCAAACAGTAAGAATTTTTCATTTAAAATGTATAAAAGTCATAGAATAATATAATTTATTATTATTAAGATTGTTTTCCATGGCCATTTTTGTTGTCCCACATTACTGTGCAAAAGCAAGGACTGCCTGTGTTTGAGAACAGTGCCTGAAAAATTGACTTTGATACAGCTGAGTAGTTGAGAGTTAAACTATTTTGGAAATAATCTGTATATCTAAGTGCTAATGGATATAATTTTTTTTCTCCCATTTTTCAAATAAAAATAAATGTGTTAATATAAATATTTCATTGTTTAAGCTATGCATTTTTGGTGAAGTTTTTGTGGGGGACAAAAAAAATCTTAAGTATAAAGCACATGTATATATACGGTCCATAAGAAAATAAACATACCTGTGGTATTAAAGTTTTAGGAGAGGAGAGGGCAATTAGGATAAAATAGTCTAAAAAGCTTCCGTAAGAAAGTGACAATGAAAAAAAAGCTGGAGAAACACTGGTTAAGACACAGGGTATAAATAAATGTTTTAGAAATTGAACTCTGATGTTGGATTTCAATGTGTGGTGTTTGGAGGATGTGGATGATACTGGTATCGTCTCTGCCATTTTTCTAAGCTGGCTACCTGTCATTCTTTCAAAAACTTCTATCACCTTGGTCATTACCATTAAATTAGGTTTTTGTTTAGTATCCTTTCCCTAAATATAGTACTTCAATCTAATCAAATAAGCTTTGAGCAATTTGAAATATTTTGTAGCAGTTGAAACATTAAACCTATATAGCCAGTTGAACTGACCATTAGAGGTTTAGTTTCATTCCTTTACTTTTGCTATCCCTTTAAAATGACTGGTTTTACTTTGATGAAATACTATTTTAAACCATGGCATTAAATGTCATTTTTAAGTTGTAATTGTCCACTGACCTGATTATAAGAAGTATAATTTATCAGTTCCTTAGTCCAGCTGTCTCGGCTAAGCACTGGTCAAAGAACAGTTCCACATACTTAACTGCTAGACTTTCTCTATTTTTCTGAATTAAATACTTTGTTACAGAAAATACAAATAGAGTCCAGTTTTACGTGAATTTCCAGAATCATTCCACTGAAAAAACCAAACTAATAGTCGTGGAGTCAGTTCTAGCTCACAGCAACCTGTGTGTTTCAGTGTAGAACTGTATATCATTGGTTTTCGATGGCTGTGATCTTTCTCAAGTAGATAGGCCTTCCTTCTGAGGCACCTCTGAGTGCATTTGGACCACTGACCTTGAGGTTAGTAGCAGAGTGCTTACCTGTTGGCACCACCCAGGCATGCTAGGATCATTACCCATATTCATACCCATTGCCATGGAGTCAGTTCCAACTCTTAATAACCCTGTACAACTGCCCTATGAGAGTTTCCAAGGCTGTGTGTGATCTTTATGAGAGCAGACTACCACGTCTTTCTCTAGTGAAGCAGCTAGTGAGTTAGAACCATTGGTCTTTTGACTGGCAGCCAAGCACTTAACAGCTGTGCCACCAGGGCTCCCTGCAGTGTAGTAAATTACCTGGTATGGCTTTTCTAGCCATAAGTCTTTGTAAACTCTGTGGTGGAATTTGCTGTGAGCAACTGAGGAGCTCCTGATTGTAAAAGTTATCCACCTGGGGTATTTCTGTTGGGTGTGGCACAAAGCAATGTTCTGGGAAGTTCGATCTCTCTCAGGTGCTTAGAATTCTGATGTTATGATTAGCTAGTTTGGCTACTCTGCCAGGCTCATAAGGAGGCCTCCTAGAGGCAGAAGTCTCTCTGACTGCTGGCTGAAAAGAATGTGCTGCTGAGAGAAACGTGCTCCTGAGAGACACGCACTCCTGAGAAATGGGCTGCTGGGAAAGAGACTCAAGAGACATGCATTGCTGAGAGGGACACGCACTGCTGGGAGAGAGACTGTTGGCTGAGAGACAGCGGGCTGAGAGAGACTGTTTTTCCTGAACTTGAATTGTAGCCTGGTGCTTCCCTAATAAACCCCGTAATCTGTGAGTTCTGTGTGGCTACTGCAGTGAATTATTGAACCCAGCAGAAAGGTGGTGAGTGCTGCGGGAGGAACGGTTGGTGTCAGGGTTGGTGAAAGGGCTGGAGGGAGGCAGCATGTCTGGTCTTGCAGGAATAGGCCTTGGGCTACTGATGGTGATTCTCTTTCTCTTGTGCGGTTACAGGAGGTCAGACAATGTGGCCGCCTTGCCCCTTTAGCACTCCCCCAGGATCATAAAAACAACCCACTGCCATAGAGTTGATTCTGATTCAGTGATCCTGTAGGATACTAGAAATGCCCCCTAGGGTTTCCAAGGCCTGCAAATCTTTGCAGAAACAGACTACTTCATTGTCTCCTGCAGAGCAGCTAGTGGGTTCAAACTGCCGACCTTTTTGGTTAGCAGCCTAATGTGTTAACCACTGCACACCAGAGCTCTGGTGGCCTAATGCCCAAGGCATTTGACTGCTAACCAGAAGCTGACTGTTCAAACCCACCAGCCATTGGGTAATCTGCTTCCATAGTAATACCGCCTTGGAAACCCAAGGAGGGGTTGCTATGAGTCAGATCTCACTCGACAGTGGGTTTTATTTTTTTTTTTAAATGTCATTTTTTGTTGCTTATGATTTAGTACATAGCTTAGGCTCTTTATAGGGACAAATTTAAAACTCTATTTAAAGCAAATACTTTTTGATGGAATAAATGACTAGAATTCAAATTACTGTATTTCAGGATCCTATAATAGACGTTTCTGTGTTAAATTTGAAAAATTCATAATTTCTCCAAGGGAAAATTTCTGAAGAAGGATTTTGTCAAATTTTTCATTGTGTCCATTTAGCAAATCAAGCTTATTGAGCATGCAAAATGTTTCCAGAGAACAGTATATCTGATTTAGGTTATGGCTGTAAGAAATGCATTGTTTCTGGCAAAACTACATCACAAGTTCACTTACTGTTTTACAATCCTATAAATAATAGTGAATAAATGAAATCTTCTAGGTCCATTTTAATTTTGTATAAATATGCTGAGTAGCTAAATTATTTTAGAATCTTATCTAAAATATAGGCCCTAGTGGAGAAGTTAAAGGTGTCTTGATGGCTTAGTGGGTAAGGTGCTTGGCTGCTAACCAAATTGTTGACCATTTGAACCCACCAAACCACTCTTGTTATTTGCTGTTGAGTCAGACCCAACTCATAGCGACCTCTCCTTGAGTTTCCAAGGTGGTGTCACTATGGAAGTAGATTGCCAACCTTCCTTCGAGTAGTGGCTGGTGGGTTTGAACCGCCAGCCTTCTGGTTAGCAGTCAAATGCCTTAGGCACTATGCTACCAGAGCTCCTATATGTGAATGTTCTTGATATGTGCCATCAAGTCGGACCCGACTCATAGCAACCCCTCCTTGGGTTTCCAAGGCAGTATCACTATGGAAGTAGATTGCCCAACCTTCCTTCCGAGGAGTGGCTGGTGGGTTTAGAACAGCCAGCCTTCTGGTTAGCAGTCAAGTGCCTTAGGCACTATGCTACCAGAGCTCCTATATATGTGAATAGTGATGTCTTAATAAAGAGAATATAATTTTGGTTAATTACGGCACAGTTTGTAACTTTTTAGAAGTCAGGCCCCCCTGTGAGAAACTGAATAAAGCTGTAAATTATCTCCCCAGAAAAATACATGTATTTATGTACTCACAAATACTCCATGTTCAGAATATTAGAATGCCCAGATAATATGAAATATTCTGCAAACCATTTTTTTATTTGAAAATGGATGACTACATTTTATTTAGTGTGGTTTGTTATACTAAAACAGTCTTTGTGAATAAAACCATTGGAATAGTTTAGTCCTTTGAAAGAGCTGTTGCTACGTTGAAAAATCAGATTCCACTGTGTCCTC